AGACACATTGTTATGAAGATATCCAATATACAGAACAAAGAGAAAATATTAAAAGCTACAAGAGAAAGGAGGCAGATTACATTCAGGGGTAAACCAATAAGGTTAACAACGGATTTTTCATCACAGACGCTGAAAGCAAGAAGATCCTGGAACAGCGTATTTCAAACACTGAAAGAAATGGATGCCAACCAAGAATTCTGTATCCAGCAAAATTAAGCTTCAGGTATGACAACGAAATAAAAATCTTTCATGATAAACAAAAGCTAAAAGAATTTGCAGCCAGAAAACCAGCATTGCAAAGCATCTTGAGCAAAACACTACACGAGGAAGAAATGAAAAACAATAACCAAAACCATCAGTGGGAAGTGCCTCTATAAAGACAGAGGGCGGGAGGAAAGCTAACCATGGAGAAACAAACTAACTTAAAAAAAAAAAAGAAGATAAATAATCAAACATGGCTGGAAGTACAAACCATATATCAATAGTAACTCTAAACGTTAATGGCTTAAACTCTCCAATAAAGCGACATAGGCTGGTAACATGGATTAAAAAAACAAATCCAACAATATGCTGCCTCCAGGAGACACATCTGATTGGAAAAGACATACACAGGCTGAAGGTGAAAGGTTAGGAAAAAATATACCATGCACACGGTCCTCATAAGCAAGCAGGGGTGGCCATCTTCATATCGAATAAAATTGACTTCAAGACTAAATTAATCAAAAGGGATAAGGAAGGACATTATATACTGTTAAAAGGAACCATTCACCAACAAGACATAACAATTATCAATATTTATGCACCAAATAATGGTGCTGCGACGTTCATAAAACAAATTCTCCTCAAGTTCAAGAATCAAATAGACCACAACACAATAATTATGGGTGACTTCAACACACCTCTCTCACAATTGGACAGATCCTCCAAACAAAAGCTGAATAAAGAAACTATAGAACTCAATATCACAATCAACAACCTAGACTTAACTGACATATATAGAATATATCAACCATCATCAAGTGGATATACTTATTTCTCAGCAGCACATGGATCCTTCTCAAAAATAGACCATATATTATGCCATAGGGCAACCATCAGTAAATATACAGGGGTGGAGATAATACCATGCATTTTATCTGATCATAATGGAATGAAACTGGAAATCAATGATAAAAGAAGGAAGGAAAAATCCTACATCACATGGAAAATGAACAATATGTTACTGAATGATCAATGGGTTACAGAAGACATAAAGGAGGAAATCAAAAAATTCTTAGAGATAAATGAAAATACAGACACAACATATCGGAATCTATGGGACACAATGAAAGCAGTTTTAGGAGGGAAATTCATCGCTTGGAGGTCATTCCTCAAAAAAAGGAAAAACCAACAAATAAATGAGCTCACACTTCATCTCAAAGCCCTAGAAAAGGAAGAGCAAAACAACAGCAAATGTAGCAGAAGGCAAGAAATAATTAAAATCAGAGTGGAAATCAATGAAATTGAAACAAAAGAAACCATTGAAAAAATTAACAAAACTAAAAGTTGGTTCTTTGAAAAAATAAATAAGATCGACAGACCCTTAGCCATGCTAACGAAGAGAAGAAGAGAGAGAACTCAAATTACTAACATACGGGATGAAAAAGGCAATATCACAACAGACGCTACAGAAATACAGAAGACAATTAGAAATTATTTTGAAAACCTATATTCCAATAAAATAGAAGATAGTGAAGACATCGATAAATTCCTTAAGTCATATGATTTGCCCAGACTGAGTCAGGAGGATACTCACAACTTAAACAGACTAATAACAATAGATGAAATAGAAGAAGCAATCAAAAGACTTCCAACCAAGAAAAGCCCAGGACCGGATGGGTATACAGCGGAGTTTTACAAAACTTTTAAGGAAGAATTAATACCAATACTTTTCAAGTTATTTCAGGAAATAGAAAAAGAAGGAGCTCTGCCAAATTCATTCTATGAGGCCAACATCACCCTGATTCCGAAACCAGACAAAGACACCTCAAAGAAAGAAAACTACAGACCAATATCTCTGATGAACCTAGATGCAAAAATCCTCAATAAAATTCTGGCGAATCGGATACAAAGGCACATCAAAAAAATTGTGCACCATGATCAAGTAGGATTCATCCCTGGGATGCAAGGATGGTTCAATATACGGAAATCAATAAATGTTATTCACCACATCAATAGACTTAAAAATAAGAACCATATGATCATCTCAATAGATGCAGAAGAAGCATTCGACAAAGTACAGCATCCCTTTATGTTCAAAACATTAGAAAAACTAGGGATAACAGGAACTTACCTCGACATTGTAAAAGCTATCTATGCTAAGCCTCAGGCTAGCATCATTCTCAACAGAGAAAAATTGAAGGCATTCCCCCTAAAATCTGGAACAAGACAGGGATGCCCTCTATCACCACTTCTATTCAATATAGTTCTCGAAACACTGGCCAGAGCAATTAGACAGACGAAAGAAATTAAAGGCATCAAAATAGGAAAGGAAGAACTTAAATTATCACTATTTGCAGATGACATGATTCTATACCTAGAAGACCCAAAAGGGTCTACAAAAAAACTACTAGAACTAATAAATGAATTCAGCAAAGTGGCAGGATATAAAATCAACACGCATAAATCAAAGGCATTTCTGTATATCAGCGACAAAACCTCTGAAACGGAAATGAGGAAAAACACTCCATTCACAATATCCTCAAAAAAAATAAAATACTTGGGAATCAACCTAACAAAAGAGGTGAAAGATTTATACAATGAAAACTACAAAACCCTAAAAAGAGAAGTAGAAGAAGATCTTAGAAGATGGAAAAATATACCCTGTTCATGGATAGGCAGAACTAACATCATCAAAATGGCGATATTACCAAAAGTTCTCTATAGGTTTAATGCAATGCCAATCAAAATCCCAACGGCATTTCTTGTAGAAATGGATAAAGCAATCATGAAATTCATATGGAAAAATAAAAGACCCAGAATAGCAAAAGCAATTCTAAGCAGGAAGGGCGAATCAGGAGGTATAGCGATACAAGACTTAAAACTATATTACAGAGCAATAGTAACAAAAACATCATGGTACTGGTACCAAAACAGGAGGGTGGACCAATGGTACAGAATAGAGGACACAGAGACTAATCCACAAAGCTACAACTATCTTATATTTGATAAAGGAGCTAAAAGCATGCAATGGAGGGAGGATAGCATCTTCAACAAATGGTGCTGGGAAAACTGGAAATCCATATGCAACAAAATGAAACTGAATCCCCTCCTCTCGCCATGCACAAAAGTTAACTCAAAATGGATCAAGGACCTAGATATCAAATCAGAGACTCTGCGTCTGATAGAAGAAAAAGTTGGCGCCGATCTACATATTGTAGGGTCGGGCTCCAAATTCCTTAATAGGACACCCATAGCACAAAAGTTGATAACAAGAATCAACAAATGGGACTTACTTAAACTGAAAAGTTTTCTCTCAGCAAGAGAAACAATAAAAGAAGTAAATAGGGAGCCTACATCATGGGAACAAATTTTTACTCCTCACACTTCAGACAGAGCCCTAATATCCAGAGTATACAAAGAACTCAAAAAATTAAACAATAAGAAAACAAATAACCCAATCAACAAATGGGCCAAAGACCTGAACAGACACTTCTCAGAGGAGGACATACAATCAATCAACATGTACATGAAAAAATGCTCACCATCTCTAGCAGTCAGAGAAATGCAAATCAAAACCACCCTAAGATACCATCTCACTCCAGTAAGATTGGCAGCCATTATGAAGTCAAACAACAACAAGTGCTGGAGAGGATATGGGGAAAAGGGTACTCTTGTACATTGCTGGTTGGACTGCAAACTGGTGCGGCCAATCTGGAAAGCAGTATGGAGATTCCTGGGAAAGCTGGGAATGGAACCACCATTTGACCCAGCTATTGCCCTTCTTGGACTATTCCCTGAAGACCTTAAAAGAGCGTACTACAGGGATACTGCTACATCGATGTTCATAGCAGCACAATTCACAATTGCTAGACTGTGGAACCAACCCAGATGCCCTTCAATAGATGAATGGATAAAAAAAAATGTGGCATTTATACACCATGGAGTATTACGCAGCAGTAAAAAATGACAAAATCATAGAATTTGCAGGGAAATGGATGGCACTAGAGCAGATTATGCTTAGTGAAGCTAGCCAATCCCTAAAAAACAAATACCAAATGTCTTCTTTGATATAATGAGAGCAACTAAGAACAGAGCAGGGAGGAAGAGCAGGAAGAAAAGATTAACCTTAAACAGATACATGAGGTGGGATGGAAAGGGAGAGAAAGGGAAATTGCATGGTAATGGAGGGAGACCCTCATTGTTATACAAAATTACACATAAGAGGTTGTGAGGGGAATGGGAAAATAAACAAGGAGAGAAATGAATTACAGTGGATGGGGTAGTGAGAGAAGATGGGAGGGGAGTGAGGGGGGATAGTAGAGGATAGTAAAGGTAGCAGAATACAACAGTTACTAATAGGGCATTATGTAAAAATGTGGATGTGTAACCGATGTGATTCTGCAGTCTGTATTTGGGGTAAAATTGGGAGTTCATAACCAACTTGAATCTATTGTATGAAATATGATATGTCAATAGCTTTATAATGTTTTGAACAACCAATAAAAAAAAATTAAAAATAAATAAATAAATAAAATGAAATAAACAGGCTCCCAACGAAGCAATTCTAATCTTATTACACAAGCTTGATCTTACTACCTGCATTTAGAAATGAATTATTATATCAACAAAGATTAATGGAGTTAGAAATGGATTTCACTAAGATTATTTAAGCAGCTCTCTAAAATCATATCAACTAACAGTTTCTTTTGATGTTTCCCAGTGGTAGTATGGAGGTGGAAAAAAAATTTAGTCATATATAAATGTCAATATACAGGGCTGATGTTTAAAGTATGCCTTACCTATTAACATCCCAGATTTTGCTAGTTGTATCCAGTGAGGCAGAAGCCACAAAATCGCCGCAAGAGTGCCAAGTGCATGACCATACTGCATGGCTGTGTCCTTCGAAGGTCAAAAGGCAATTGCCTTTAAGAAGGTCCCATAATTTAACTGTAGTGTCACCACTGCAAGTAGCCAACTTGTTGTCACTGCATTCAAAAACATAAAAATATAATTTATTCAAGATAATCCATAATTAATTTTATAAATGCCTGTGTTCTGTGAGTAATGTGTGTGCATGTGTAAACTGAAGTTATTTTTACTTTCAATGAAATATCTGATTGAATCTTATGATCTTATTTGGGTATACACATTAGATTGTTAGTGATTCAAGCTGATGAGAAAAACTGCTATTGTGCAGTTTTTATATTAATCTTAAAGCCTAGATTATTCTCAAATAATTCACTAAGTTAGTGTTTTCGTTACTCTGCATGAAATCAAGGTTATATGTTAGGCTCTATAAATAATGTGACCACAGAATTATGAAAATTTAGACCTGATCTATGATAATTTCAAAAACATACCACAATATAAAACATTAAGTCAACATTGCTTGCTTATGTTTAGATTAACTAACTCCCAATGTGTAGTTTATATGATGAAGGAAGAAAGTAATCAGAAATGAGTTGGCTTTTTGAGCAAGATCATGAGAGATGAAAGAGTTTAAGTGCTAGATGTTTGAGGAAAAAGCACTGGATCTTCCATTAAGGTGATTAGAAGATGTTAAAAAAACAAAAACAAACAAACAAACAAAAAAAAAAACAGTGGCTTCCCAATAGTGGACACAAGAGCTTAAGAAATGAGTGATGTCAGTTATATCAGCAGAAGTCCCTAGGTTTTTTATTTTTGTTTTTTAGCAAAATGCCAGCTGCAAGGAAATTTCACTTTCATTACCTTGTACATATCCTTTTGCATTGGACACACTTTGTGTGCACCTTTTCCTCACTTACTAGTAATAAGCTATTTATTTACACTCTTCCTCAGGCTGTATTTTATGATGGACAAATATGTTTCTTTTCTCTGTTTCTATTACATCAAGCATCATGATTGACCAATGGAGATACTCTGAAAATACTTCAGAATAAATAAGTGTATGAATGGATGAATGCATGAAGTCATTCTATAAATGGAGAAGAAAGAGTGTGTGGTATCTCTAAAATAGGAAATGGCGAGTTTCATTTGCTTGCTCATACATTTGGTTATTTTTATGCTCAGAGGAAAATTAAAAATTTTTATTTGCACTGGAGAAACAGCTATAATTGAGAAGGAGAGCTTGAAAGTGCTGCAGAGGTGAGGGATTAGACCATGCAGAGATTCTCATCAAAATTAGAAAAGGACATTAATTTTTCACATTAGCATAGTTGAAAAAAATCACTATATGACAGGTCCTTCAAAAAGACAATGAAGTGTTCTTTGCTTTGTGGTGGTTGTTTATTTGTACATATATAGTCTCCATATAGCATTTTGTTTTTAACATTACATACCACACAATATTTTTATCTAAAAAATTTAAGCCAATATAAAAACAAATAGTTATGTATTATTAAGGTATGCCATTCACTCAAATCTCTTTCCAATGGTTAGTATGCTATTACGGATGAAAATATTTGCCTAAGATAAGAATTACTATAGTATATTTCTGCCTGTGGCTGAAAAACTCTCTCATATAACCTTAATATACTTGTCTCTTAACTTTAAGCCATGTGCCAGGAGAAGCAAAAATCATAACTGGAATAATTGCAAATGGAATGAAGTAGTATTATTTCTTTATGAGTACCATAAACTGATATTTAGTAAATAATAAGAAATGCATTTCTAAGTTTACAAGTAATAAATGTAGACAATATTCTTATGTTTCTAATATACTAAGAATATAGTTCATGTGTACAAACTCCACTAAAGTCAAAATAAATAGTGTACAAATTTCTGAATATTTTTTGAAGTTTTTTTTTGCCTTTAAAAAGACATGGTTTGAAATACAAAGAGCTGTATGATTTTGGTTTATAAGAAAATAAAGAACAATTCTAAGGATTGAGAAAGATTGAATGAGAGATAAAATGGCATACTAAAATTTAAAGGTAGGCTTTAAGTGATGTAAAGGCAGGACCACCCTGGGCTTTATACAAACAGGAGAAAACAAAACCTCTAAAAGAGAAAAAGTGGATTCTACAGACTGAATATTTGTGTCCTTCATGCCAAAATCTAGTGGTGAAAACCTATTTCCCAATGTGATAGTATTTGGAGTTCTAGCCTCACGCATATGAGGATGCCTTAGAGGAATTAGCATCCATATAAGAAAACAGTCTAGAGCTAACTTTCTCTCTGCATTGTGAGAACAGAGCAAGAGACAGCAACATGCAAGCCTAGAAGACAATCCTCACCAGAACCCAAGCATGTTGATCTTGGCCTTCCAGTCTCCATAACTAGGAGAAATAAATTTTTTGTTGCATAAACTACCCATTCTATAGCATTTTGTTACAAGAGCCTGAATTAAATATGAGATGGATCCAGGTCATTGGTATTTAGCCTAAGTCATTCCAATTGAGGCTCCTGACATTTTACAGACATAGGTCAATAAAATCTAAACTTCAGAAAAATTATAAAACACATAATAGGAATAAGAAGTTATGACTGAAGATGAGCTGATAAAATTAACAAAGACTTATACTCTGGAGAGCTCTAGTTGTTGTAATTTTCAGTACCAAATATAACATGACTATGAATATAATGTAAAATAAATTACTGAAATAAAAATAAGCAACAAAAGAATACAAGATTAATCTGCAACTATGAAAAAAGTAGAACATTTAGACATGTAAAAATCTAAATATTGAAATTAATAAATCTCTGGCTGGGTTAATAGCAGATTCAACACAGCAAAAGAAATTAAAAAATTGGATGATGAATCTAAAATTAAATATAAATTACCCTAAATAAAAATAGAACAGGAATAACAGTATAGAAGTAAAGAAATAAGGAAGGTAGAATGAAAGGCTTTCTATATAAAATGCCAGAAGAGTGTGGAAATTAAAAACAGGATAAATTGAACATAAGAACTGAAGGTTGAAAAAGTACAGGAACTAGAAAATGTTAAGAAGTAAAAAAACAAATTTTAGAAATATGGTGTTTGCAATAGGATAAACAGTGCAAACAAAAAGAAATCTATTTTTAGATACATATGTATGAATTCTATAACACCATAGGCAACAACAATAAAAAGTATAGGAAGAATAAAGAGGATAGGAAAACGGAGGAAGAAAAGCATTTTATTTGTATTATAGCTAATATATACCACACACACACACACACACGCACACACACACACACACACACGCACACACACACACACACACACACTATACACACACAAGGTAGGTACCATTATTATCTCCGAAACATTTAAACTACATCATCCTAAAGCAAATACGTTACAGAAATGAAATGTATTTACTCATATAAAAATAAATAATGTTATTCCATAATCAAAGAGAAAAAAAAAATCCAGCTAAGCAGGCCTCCCCTATAGGAATGCAAAAAAAATTATAGAAGATCCTATAAGGAAACATTTGAAATGAAGAAGTAGTGAATAAACAATTTGATAAATATTTAAATATATTCAAATATTTGTGTAGAAAAATGAACACATTGTTTAAAAATAAAAATAACACAACTAATAATATTGACAACAATGTTCATGTATTTTTCAGAAAGGAAGGTAAGACATTGATTAATTTTACAATTTAGTAAATCAAATCTGCATGGTAAAACATCATTTTGTTATTTATTTATTTATTTATTTTCCACTTTCTCTGTTCTGGAGATTCTGTGTATCTGTGGATGGGTATGAATATATGCTGAATGTGTTCTCACAGTGCAGATATGTTTGGAGATATATGTATATATATCAACATTCATATAATTTTACTTTCATCTTAATTGCTTTCTTCTGTTCCTGTTTATTATTTAGCCTTGGTTTGATTTGGGTGGAATGTAATTATACATGGATTTGAATTGTTTTGATCTTACATTTTCTTGTTTGTTCATACCTTGTTTATTGTTCCTCTTATTGCCTCCTTTACTCTCTTCCCCTTATAATATCCAAATTTTCCTGTTCCCTCTTCCTCATTTTAATTTTTAATACTTTTAGTTAGTTTTGTATTCCTCCTCTTTGCAGTTGACATCTGCTCCTTATCTCCTGACACTCCTCTATTCACTTTTTAAAATATTTAAAATGCTCACTTGCCTTCTTATCCTATTTTATGTTTACTTAAGAAACTGTAATTCCACTAATAGATTATATAGTTTATGTAATCTCTACCATATTCATGTTGTTGTAATTATTAATACAGTGGATGATGTAATAGACACCTGCTGGTTAACACATAATCTAGTTCATGGTTTTTAAATTGTTGGTGCTGATGGTAAGTACTGACCCCACTATCCCTATATTGATGACAATCAGTATTACTGATATCAAAGTAGATTCTGGATATTATTTTAAGAGTGTATATCTGTTGCTAACATTTGTGCTATTCTTGGCTCCCCCATCCTCTAAGAGGGACTGGAAAGTAATTGGGACACTTCAAGTTCACAGAACAGAGATCTTACTGCTTAACAATACTCACAACTCAGCAAAAGAATAGTTAACACCGCACACATGATCTAGCCTCACCTGAGCCTTAACAATACTTCAACACATAGAATACGGGAGAAGAAAACCCAAAACCATCAGCTATGCCCCAAGGAGTAACAACCAGAGAGGGTCCTCAGTTCTCACTCTTGGACATCTACTCATATATCAAAAACAGAGTGAAATCAGAACAACAAAAAAATAAAAAAAATAACTACACATATATGGAATGCATACAAAAGAGGAAAAGGAATTCATTTCAATTGAGGTGAAAGTCCAAGGCCTTTGAAAACATAAGAAAAAAAGCAAATAGATCTCCTACCAAAATGCATGATTCCCCCCCCACACACAAATAATTTCACAGATATGAAAGTAAATGAAATTACAGAGATATAAGAACACAGGGATAATATCATGAGAAGAAACCTGAGATAAAAGAAAAGACTGGGATAAAAGAAAACATGGAGTTATAGGATAAAGGGATTAAGAACACTTTCTATGAGGTAGTAACAGACAAAT